GGAGCTCTATTTGAATTTTGTCCTCCTCCCCCACCAGGGCTCCGTCCTTGACTCCCATTTACCAGGTCATTGCATCCCCGTTCGTATGCTAGGAAAAAATATCTTATCAAAGACATGTTATTTGGAGAGGGAATTTTTCCCACCCTGAATCAACATGTTCATTATAATATTTTTTTTTTCAATATGTCTTTTATTTTATTTCATTTTACCCCCCCCCCTCCCTCTCTCTCTCGATTCATTCTATACATGTACCAAATGATTTATGCCTACTGTTCAATCCAGTTTATGTATCATGAATAAAATATATTTTAAACTAAACCGCCGTTCCTAATGCAAAAACCTGAATCTGCTCCTCTGGATCCAGGGATTATGTAGAAGAAATACAGAATGTTGGATCCTTCGAGAAAAATTCGAAGTTCCGGACAATTAAATATGATTTCAACGTCGTCCATTCAAATCAACACTTTTTTCAATGTCAACACAGGGGTCAAAATGGGAGAAGACCTATTTTTTCCTTCTTTACACATGTGTAATATTTTGTGTGTATTGTTATAACAAATTATATTGCTTAACGATTTCTTGTAAAATATATGAGTAGTCCTATATGAGACAACCAGGATACAAATTACAAATGAATTTGAAGAAACAACTGTCAAAGTTTTCAGCCAATAATAAGTTATGAAGGCTTTAGTGGGACTTTGAGGGCTTTTCCAAAAGGCACGTATTTTGATTATAAAAATACATACATACATGAAAAAATTGCACAAGGTATCTAAATTCAAATTTTACGAAGTACTACCCACTCAAGAATATTGTTTATTTTCGTTTTCAGAAAAGGTTATTACAGAGTGTTTATCAATTTTTCTATGATAATTTATCTACAAATTCATTTTTTATCAATGTTGCCTTTATTGCCCCCAGCATAAATTGGGGCCAAGGAGGATAACCAGAGGAGCAGATTCAGGTTTTTGCATTAGGAACGGCGGTTTAGTTTAAAATATATTTTATTCATGATACATAAACTGGATTGAACAGTAGGCATAAATCATTTGGTACATGTATAGAATGAACCGAGAGAGAGAGGGAGGGGGGGGGTAAAATGAAATAAAATAAAAGACATATTGAAAAAAAAAATATTATAATGAACATGTTGATTCAGGGTGGGAAAAATTCCCTCTCCAAATAACATGTCTTTGATAAGATATTTTTTCCTAGCATACGAACGGGGATGCAATGACCTGGTAAATGGGAGTCAAGGACGGAGCCCTGGTGGGGGAGGAGGACAAAATTCAAATAGAGCTCCTAAGAATAAGTAACCAAAGAATTTAATGCATTGTATCTTTATAACAATAATGTTTGACAGTGAAAACTCTAAATGCTAAAAGATGTAAATCCAGATTAACATATTGGTCAAAAGCTGTAGCTGCAGAGCTTGCACATTTACTATTTTCACAAATCCAACTTATAAAAAGATTTCTGATCTCATCTGGCTTCCATAGATCTGTATACACTTTCACTTTATCAAAATTATTAATTTGTTATAACAAATTACCAATTTGTTATAACAAATTATTAATTTGTTATATCAAATTGATAATTTGTTATATCAAATTAGTAATCTGTTATAACAAATTAGTAATCTGTTATAACAAATTAGTAATCTGTTATAACAAATTAGTAATCTGTTTTAACAAATTGATAATTTGTTATAACAAATTAGTAATCTGTTATAACAAATTAGTAATCTGTTATAACAAATTAATAATTAAATTTTGTTATAACAAATTAGTAATTTGTTATAACAAATTAGTAATCTGTTATAACAAATTAATAATTTGTTATAACAAATTGATAATTTGTTATAACAATTTAGTAATTTGTTTTAACAAATTAGTAATTTGTTATAACAAATTGATAATTTGTTATAACAAATTAGTAATTTGTTATAACAAATTAGTAATCTGTTATAACAAATTAGTAATTTGTTTTAACAAATTAGTAATTTGTTTTAACAAATTGATAATTTGTTATAACAAATTAGTAATTTGTTATAACAAATTAGTAATCTGTTATAACAAATTAGTAATCTGTTATAACAAATTAGTAATTTGTTTTAACAAATTAGTAATTTGTTTTAACAAATTGATAATTTGTTATAATAAATTAGTAATCTGTTATAACAAATTAGTAATCTGTTATAACAAATTAGTAATTTGTTAAAACAAATTAATAAAAGATACTGCTGCGGCCCTAATACGCTTCCGTAAAGTAATGGCTTTGTTGTACATTGTATTCAGGGACAAAGAGCAAACAGGTCGTCATTTACCATAGTTATGCTCAGTATGCTGGGAAGGGCAAAGATGTGACATATGCTGAAAGGTAGGTCGACCATGCCGACTGAGAACAGGTCTTAGGTCGTGTGAAGGAATCAGCATTTAGTAATTACGAATAAAAGTTAAAAATAAATCCATGCCAATATTTTTATGACAACGTGTTTCAATCAATTCAGTCAATTACATGATAAAAACAATCAACCAGTCACTTGACCAATTTTAGCTGTTAAGGGACGCAACTCAAAAATGATGATCGGTGCCGGTGTATCCATGTCTTTTTTCTATATATACATTTTCAACCAAAATATCTAGAAGTCATAGGAAATGAAGTTACAATAATGTATATAATACAAAAACTGTATGAAATAAATGGGTTTTGAAAAAATATTATGGTAAAAAATTATGTAGGTCCCTTTTATCAACATTTTACATAGGAAATGCATTAAGAATTGTAAAAACACTAATTTGACAAAATCTTAAAAAGAATGCTGGATTGGTAGGTAAAACGATCCAGAATATAGCCTATTTAGTACATTTAAACCTACTCAAAAGTTCTTGAAAAATTCTATACAATAACCAGGAACCTTGCCAATGTCCTTAATTACAAATGTATATTATATGGAAGAGAAAAAAACCCTTGAAAAGATTATCAACCATTTACTTAGTATTACTTTCATTATAAGATTATGACACATATACATTGATATACAGAATTTGTGTTTAATTATTTTCATTGATTTCATTGAGTGAATATTTAATTAACCCCAACTAAGCTACAATGATTTATGATAAATTCATGTGTATGTTTTTTTCTGAGAAATATCTACTCAGACCAGTTATAATGTTTGATTTGTGAGTATTGATGTCTTTAAAACATGGGGCTACAATTTAAATTGTAAGCATATTCATATTTGTCCCCAAACTAATCAAAGACGGAGGTTATTTCCTTTACTATAGGATTTTGAATGAATAAATCCCTTCTTCAAGATTCACTGTTTCAATACAATTTCAACAGTAGAAAGGTTTTAGCTCACCTGAGTCGAAAGCTCTCGTGAGCTTTTCTGATCACATTTTGTCTGGTGTCCATCTGTCTGTCTGTCCATCCATCTGTAAACTTTTCACACTGTTAACTTCTCTTGAGCCAATGAGCCGGTTTCAACCAAACTTGCTATAAATCATCCTTGGGTAAAGGGGATTCAAGTTTGTTCAAATGAAGGTGCATGTCCTCTTTCAAGGGGAGATAATCAAGAATTAGTTAAATTTTAATGGCATCATTAAAAATATTCTTTTCAAGAACCACTGGCCAGAAAAGATAAAACTTATCTGTTAGCTTCCTGACGTAGTGTAGATTCAAGTTTGTCCATTTAAACCATTACCACATGTGTACAGGGGACTTTATGTGACCTATAAGCACTACTAGTGTTTGAAATAACCGTGCGCCCGACCGCCCGAGACGCACAAATTTTGCCATGGGCGAACAAATTTGCACGTATCGACGCCCGGCTGGACGTGTTAAAATTTCCCTTAAAAATTAAAATTCATATATTTGATAAATCTTTCTCAGATCAGTTTATAGTATCGGTAACAAAGTGTAATGGGTAAAAGGGGTAGAATTCGCTAGCCTATCCAGGCCTCTAAAATTAGGCGCTAGCTGGCGCCTTATCAAAAAGATTTAGTCGCCAATGCAAATTTTTAGTCGCCAGGCAATTTTTCTGAGGCGACAACTTTAAATGTTAATAGAATATAGAGACCCATGACGTGCGCATTCTTTTAAAATTCTTTTCGCTTTTTCAGAAAAAAATGTTAAAAATGAAAATTCCGGAATTCGACGATCGCCAACTCAATCTAAAATGGTTACCAAGGCGACTTATGGAAAAATTTTAGGCGCCAATAAAACATTTTAGGCGCCATGGCGACTAAATTAGTCGCCAATTAGAGCCCTGCTATAGATTCAGAATCGAAGTTATGGTGATCTGGCCCCATTCACATTATCGCTAAAAACAAATTTATATTATAAAGACCATTATTTTCTCGGGCTAGAGGATTTTTGGTAGGGCTGACAGCTTTCACCCCTGCATGTCTATAGCTTTACGATGAGTTTCAAACACTGGTCACTGGCACTAGTGTTTATAAAATCCCCTTAACTGACCTTGAGAATAAAGTCTTATTGCACATGATACATGTACTTTAGAAACGTGAAAACAAAAGAAAGGTTACATCCAATCATAGACCTAAAGCAAATAAAAAGAGACATTTTATCAGAAAAAATATATATAAGGCAAAGTTTTTTTTTCTTATGAATTAAAGGAATTGAGTACAATTTGTATTGACAAGCGTTAGGTCTGTGATTGGATATAACCTTTCTTTTGTTTTCACGTTTCTAAAGAAATTATAAATCTTTCGTTATGACCGTTAAGCTGCTGAGATTGTTCGATTAAATAATTCAAAGTCAAGTACTGGGTCAACATACTGTAAATGTATTATATTTTAGCGTGTACGATATTTTCCGGAATTTGATTTTTTAACAATTAAGATTAGCGCATTTTATGTGCGTGTATATATGTGCAAGACAATTAGCGTTTCACTTGAATTAGTTGAAGTTGCTATCCGCCAAAGCGCTAAAAAAAATACACATTCAAATGTAATATTAGTATACTTTTATGTAGATATACTGTATATAACATGAAGCGGTCACCCATCCAAGTATAATACAGGCACATGCTTGAAATCGAAACACATTAACTATGAAACTGAAATTTTTCTTCATACAGTCAAAATTAAATTGCTGTTCAAGACAAAAACAAGGAGGAGTGGGGGGGGGGGATTCTTTGGTGCTAAACATCTTCCCCATTTACAATTTTTAAGTGATTTGGTAATTAAGCCCCTGTCACATCAGGGCTGCGTTCCAACAGAGTTGGCGTTGTTAAATTCCTGGGATATCCGTGGAATATCAGGAAAATTCAATGAAATTTTCAAAATACGAGATGTCACGGCATCCTGACAACAACCAAAGCACTTCTAGGGAATTCCTGCGGCATGCTACTGCGCTCCCTCTGAGTGTTCCATGCGTGCGATGAGTTAACGGCGTACAGTGCGCCAACCGCGTGCACAAGACGTTCTTTTGACGCACTGGCATCTCAAAGGACTCCTACAAGTTTCTGTACTTCAGCTCGGTCGAAGATACCATTGCGTCCATACTGCCATCATGTGCGTCACTTGAGCGCGCCAACGGGCTCTTGTGGCGCTGTTGAAGACCTTACCGCGCTATTACGGTGACTATACGGCATTTCCATTGCGTGTATATCAGAACGCAGAGCCAAGCGCATACTGTATGCATGCTCAAAATGCGCGCCATCGCATTGCGTTCTAGGTGACCCAATCGCGTCACTTGGAAACCCCACCGAGTTCTTACAGCGCCGTAGGAGACTCTACTGCTAGCACTTCCGCGTTCTGCTTTTTTTTTTCCACAGATGCCGCGGGATCGCTTGAGGACGCAACCCTGGTGTGACAAGGGTTTTACACTGTATATTCGATAACACTTTCAAATTTTCTTTTTATTTACTTTGTACAGTAAAAGATGCTCCTTAAATGAGGAATGCATGCTCATGACAAATCATATTTTTCATTTACATAAAAAAGGTAATGACTTGATATAAAATACCGTACATATCATATAATGAATGATTGGTATAATAATCGTAACAAAGTTCCATGCTTTTTTTCAGAATATCTTTTTATATCCCATCCCAAATAAAATCTCTGTCTGTCCCTGTTGCTTCCTTAAAACAAATACGTGTAGTACTGGTGTCTTTTACAGTACATGGATCTATATCACAGTCTTAATGGCGGTACGCCCCTAAAAAATCAAGGAATTATTTGTAAGCAAGTAAAAACATTATGAAAAATAAATAATAGGGAAAAAAGCCACAATGTGTATTACTTAGTATTAATATGGTAATGACTGCAGGTGTGTATAAACAGTTGAGCCTACTGGTCACAACTATCCTCTAGTTGTGAGGAGTTCTTAGATTTACATAATTACAACCAAAAACAGATGTTACATCAACGCATCTAAACCTCTTCTGACAATTACCAGCCAACACACAGAATAACTGGCAAAGCTTAATTATCAAACAATTTGATGAGTACCCGTAGCTAAATACAGTAACATAGACTGGCGTACAGCTCTGCTGTGACCAACAGAGCCTAAAAGAAATAAGAAGTCACTCCTGATGCCAAAATAAAGATAAGGTACATATACAACTGATAAACTAATGACAAAAAAGTAACAAAATTGTGACAATACGTATGCTTGTGTTCTCAAGGAAATTAAGTCGATTAATGAAATCATAGAGTATGGAAATGAACATCTTTTATGATTAGTAGGTAGATATATGCAAATTTCATCTGGAAAGTGAATCGTCCAATTGATTACCATCCTGATTACTTAGGCTCAATTTCCTAACAGTAAATGTACAGAAATTATAATGTATATTTTATCCTCCAAATATATGAACAGGAGGTGCCAATAAAGTGTCTTTTTATAAGTCTTTACTCACTTTGCAAGCCATAATGGTCAGCAATTCCAGAAGCTCCTAAGCATTTCATGACACCAGAAAGCTGTACTACATGTATCTGTATATAGACACAAACCAACATTATAACTCATTTTTTTTCATTTATACTTTAGATCACCAAATTATCATGATACCTTATTTTTGTGAGATAGTTTAACTTTAATTTCTTCTTTCTTTTGTGAGTAAAACATACTGATAGCCTCAAGAATGCTTATTAAAGCTCAATATTTTTTGGTTTTCAAGAATTTACAGAATTTTAAGTTACCTTTTTCAATATTTTTGTAATATCTTTTAATGTTTGTAGCCCGAGGCATCTTCTGAAAGAATTATACATGTTAAAGTCATTAATATATGTAGTAAACAAGTGGTAAATAAATGCAATGTATGGGAGAGCAATATTGACTTCTGCAAAACATGTGTTTATCTTACAGATTTTTCTTGCATAATCTTTATAATGGTTACACATATATCACTATGTCAAACTTACAACTCATCTTGTTGCATTTTTTGTTTAAATTTCCATTACCATGCTGCATAACATATTCAAGATTTAAAAAAAAATTTACCTTTTCTATCAACATATTTAATGACACCTTCATGAATCTCTGGAAATGATTGATGATGAAAATATGGTAAAAACATCCATCTTGAACTTTTCACAATTTTCTCAAATCTTTTCTCTCCCAGCTGTGGGATCAGGTTTGCTGTTCCCCTTAATTGATGTACAACACGTGGACTGGGAGTTGTAAAAAACAAGCTGTGATAAATCAACAACCATAAGTCCACAACACTGGAAAATTTCAGGTTTTGGGAATCTTCTTCAAAAAAGTTTAATGGCTTGTTGGATTTCAAGAGATAGTCATGCACAGGGTCATAGACAGCAACTTCAAAGGAGTCACTTGTCATACCAAACACTGGCATGGCTGGGGCATAAGAACTGTCCTTTTTATTAGATTGTTCTTGGTACTTGCAAAGAGACATGGCTATCGCTTGCTTGCAGAGCTGTTTTTCATCAATTACATTTATTTCTGATTTGTATTCCCTATTAAGAATTTCTTCATCAAGTTTATAAACAGTGCTCTCATATTTATCCATCCATTCCTTGTTCACCAGACAATGATAATAAATATCATCAGTCTTCTTTCTTGCTGTGAATACTGCAGATTTAGTATAATTTTCTTCTGTAATAGAATGATTCTCTGCAGGTATGAGGACACCATCAACAAAACCGTGGAAAAGATGGGGACTTCCTGAAAGAGAAAATGCATTCAAAAATAGGTTAAACATTGAATTGTGTTACAGTATATGAAGGAATTATTGTTAAATCAATAAGATATAAATTCTGGAGGAGAGAGATGGATATTTATGATTTGCTGGCTAAAATATGAGAAAAGGAAGGAATAAAATGTGTTCACAAATATTTTGATATCTATTGCACTGTATCAATTTTTGTTCATTATTACAATTAACATATACTTAATTAAAATTGATATCATACCAGTCTTTGTGTCACAATGCTTATAAATATGTAAAAGATAAATGTATGCACTGCTTAACAAAAGTATGCATTTTACCCAGCAGTGTACTTCCAAAGTTAAGAGGCTGTCCACATCCACAAGGACACTTGTCCGTTGGACCTTTGGTATGAATATTATCCATAAAGTAGCTGGATGGGAAGGGGAGCAACTGGCAAATAAGATGCTGTGAAATGACTGCAGCAACCTGCTCTTCTGATGACAAATCTTTTAACATCATCAATCTATTTTCATGTTCCTCTGAAAATGAGATAATAAAACTATTTTCATGGTTTTATTTTATATACATACTTTTATGACATAAAGAACAAGATTCACTAAGGGCCTTTTTTGGCCCTGTGAATTTCTGAAAAACTGAAACTGCTTAGTTTTAGTTGATAATGCATTAAACTTCATTTAGACATTTGGCGATTGCGAATCTACCAAAAATGACGTGATTTTCTGGCTAGTCAATGCATTATGACGTCATGAAATGCGTCATTTTCCTCATATCCTGATCAATTCTACAAGAACAGCCAATTTTTAAAGATATTTTTCGATATTTAATATAGAGCGCAATCTCTGATCTAAAATATGCAATTATTTACTGATAGAACCGTTTCTGAGGATTACAAAACATGTTTTATTTTTTAGATCAGAGGGTGCGCTCATATTATTTTTCTTCTCTGAAAGTACTTAAATATACCTGTTTTCCTTAAAAGTCAAGAACATTGCAATTCCATAAAGCTTGTTTTCCAAGACCTGGACTTTAAGGAGAAAAATTCTAATAGGAAATGAAAGCACTAAGTCTCTACTTTATCTTGATGTTTAAAATGAAACATTAGGTGTTAGTCAATAAATTGGTATATCTACAGTGCCATTTTATGCATAAAGTGAACCTAGCTCTTTGGTTGTGTTGACAATAGTACTGGTACATTTAAGAACAGCTGTGTTAGAAATAATTCATTTCAGGGTAATAATATATATGGTATTTTGGGTGTACCAGACATACATGCATGTAAATAGCATTATTTAGGGAATAACCAACTTCTTTTTTGTTATTTGCAGCTCTTTATGCGAATTTTACAGTCAAACTGAGTTTTTATCAGCGGCTCTTTAGTGGAGCCAGTAAAATGGATGTTTGCAACTGTTAAACCTGCTTTACCAGTGCTTAATAAGAAACAAGAAGATACAACCATGTAGTTATTCCCATTCTAATGCAATTTATGTATTTTATTTGATGCTTACATCATATATAACTCATTTGGAGTATTATAAATTGACCCATTAAATACCAGAGGCATCATATATTAATACCATATTTAATTTTTATTTCTGTCCGTGAAAATATATTCATGACAAATACCGATAACAACATCATGCAGCTGAACTGACAGAACATAATAATTTCAAATCAATATTAACATCTGATAAGCATGCACAACAAAACCCTTTAATCTCTTCACCTTTGTTCACATAAAATTTCTTTAGTGCCCTGAATGCAGTATCCTCCTGTGAGTTTTGCAGCCCCCCCTTGGTTTTTAAGTAACGTTCAATCGCGTCATACCCTCTGGAAAACATTGTGGAGGATCGTGTCCCAAGATATTTAACAGTTTCTTCAAGGCAGTGTGAGTTACCAACATTTTCCTTTACTCTGTACAAAGCAAATCTCCAGAATGTAGTTTCACTGAATGTTTCGGATACCTCCAACTCCTCCAGGTCGTGGTTTCCATAAATTTTTACTGCGGCTAAACTGTATTTATGATCAGTTATATAATTTTTAAGATTATTTCTAAAGGAAGTATTTTGTAAATCATCTTTACGTATGTGCAAGTCATACTTAGTTAGAAATGAGGTCCTTCTGTTTAGTTTGAGCAAAGTGAAAGTTCTCTTTCGAAACATAGACGCCATTTTGAATGGGTGCAGGTTATTTCAACACCAGGATGTTTCGGCTCACAGCTAAATCATTCGCTTCTTAGAAATATGTACAATGTATATATTTTTGCATGTAAGCAGTTTTAAGAAAGTTATATAATTTACAAAAGTGTATGTTGGGATTTTTTCATTTCATACACAATTTGCAATCACATTTAAGTGATATACGGTATATAGCAAATATTAAACATTTATTTTAAATATTAATTTAATTCAATATTTTACGACTTGTTTTTTCTTCAAATGTTGATAAAGTAATTTTTTAAAAATTTAATCTAATTTGGGAACTTGCAGACTTTTCCATGTCGTATCAAACACATAAACAAGACCTTTGCTGAGGTCAGTAAGGTGAGGTCAAGGTTATAGAAAAGGTCAATTTCAAGATAGATCTTCAAGATTGTTAGAGAGAAACTCTGAACACTTATATCTCATACAATAATTTTGCATTATCTGAAGGTGTGTCAAGTCCTTGGCCAAGGTTACCTGTGGAAGTTCAAAAAAGATATCTAATATGTCCTGTTTATAACTTTGTAAATGAAAAACAATTGAACCCTATAAATATACTTGATTAATTGATTGCTTACAACCCGAGGGTGTTTCAAGACCTGAATCAAGGATGTTTAGGCAAGATCAAGGTCACTGACAGGGTAAGAGGAGGGCAGACATACTGGAAACACTTTTTCTCACTAGATAATAATTCTGTGGAATCACAATTTCTGTTCTATTGCGGGTAGAATATACTGTATATCACTTAAATGTGATTGCAAATTGTGTATGAAATGAAAAAATCCCAACATACACTTTGAGGCAAAATGCCAAATTTTACACCCTCCAAGAAAACCTGTTATTCCTACTGTATGTGTACTTAAAAAATCAGGCTTCATATTTTAGCTGGCTTTGGTGCAGACAACGATGAGCTAATTCATGAATACCGCTAAAAAATCATTTATAAATACAATATACGGCACGGACACGTAGAGCGCTAATTCATGATTTCGCCAACAACTCCATACCCAGTGATTACGCCATGTACACGTACAGTGTATCTGCAGACATAGTCAATTCATTTTGTGATTCATTACAGAGCATATCAATAATAAAACTGCATATTGAAAAAAAAAAGAATGATGTCAAAGAAACTCAAACATTTAATCATGTCAACAACATTTACAAACAAGCTATATAAACTAAGAAATGTGTGGAAAAAAATAGTCAAGGACATAATTTTATTTTTCAGAAATAATTATAATAATTGGGAAAACATTGTGATTCAAATGCTTTTGATGTAACAACTTAAAATATACTGTAGAATGTAGAAGCACAAATTTTTGTGGGAATAAAATTTTGTTGATTTGCCATCTAAAAGGGTTTCGTGGGCATTAAACTTCGTCATTGTAACCATACTCATTATATTTTCATATAAATTTTCATGTGGGATTAAATTTTGTTGATAATTGGTAACAACCAAATAAATGAAATAAAATCCCCAACGAATATTTCTGCTTTTACAATAATACAATAACATCTGCATTCATTATAATGAACTGTGACTTCCAAATGTCAACAACAATTCCGTCTTTGAAGTTAATTACATGTACCCTCTGTACCGATTTTGAGATTTTTCTCTCAATATTAAACAATGGAAATCATAGAAAGGGCGAAATAAAGACCCCTGGAAACACCAGAGATGTGATCAGGATAACGAAAAATACTAAAGTTGTTGTACTGTTAAAAGTTATCTAATATTCTTAACCCACAAGAGATTACTGACATTACATATTAACATTTCGTGCTCATCTTGAAGTAATATTACAATGTAATAAATGTAAAATGTAATCAATGAAATTTATCTTATAATATTTTGCATCATTATAAAATTTTGCATTGACAATACATGTATGAAATGTTTTTGTGACAAATGCCCAACTAGCAGTATGAAGTTAATAATTTTCTGTACAGTAACATTCTACAACAAATTGTGTAGTGTGTGCTCATAACCTGCAAGAGTTACATGAATTTAACATCAACAGAGATTTACAGAACTCGATCTGGACCCATACACTAACACAACTGAAACATATCATTAAAATTCATACATCTCTACAATTATTATGGCACAAAATTGTATCATGATTTATCACAAAGAAATGGAAGTGAAACAAGAGGCCCATGGGCCACAATGCTCACCTGAGTCACTATGGTCATGTTGCTCTTCATCAGCAGATTTTTATACCCCCCTATATTTCTATGTAAATTAAACTTTGATCACTTATTGTGGCCTCACTCTACCCAAAGGGGTAATGATTTAAATCAACTTAAATCTACACTACCTGGGGATGTTTCCATATAAATATGAGTAATCATGGTTTGGTGTTCTTGAAACAAGAAGATTTTAAGAGATTTTCCCCAAATACATGTATAACTAAGTAAAATTTCCATTGCCCATTGTGGCCCTACCCTACCCATGGAGGTCATGATTTGAACAAGCTTGAATCTACACATCAGAGGATGTTTCCATACAAATATGACTAACCATGGCTTTGCTGTTCTTCTTCAGATTTTAAAAGATTTTTCCTAAAAACTCTTATGTGAAACTTTGATTGCCCATTGTGGCCCCACCCTATCACTGGGGGGTCATGATTTGAAAAAAAATATCCATCTATACTACCTGAGGATGCTTCCATATGAATATGACAATTTTCACCATATCTTAATTGTCTCCTCTTGAAAGAGGCTGTGACTCCCTATAAAGTTGTTTTGTAGCAAGTTTGGTTGAAATTGGCTTAGTGGTTCTGGAGAAGAAGTCAAAAATGTAAAAAGTTAATAGATTGACTGATAGCTGGATGGATGGACAATGGACAAACTTTGATCAGGGAAGCTCATTAGCGCCCTTGGCTCAGGTAAGGTTAAAATAATACACATAGAAACATAATTTTGGGAAACATTTTGATTTTGAATACCCTATACTAAATACATGTTTTTTAATTCAGGCAATGGATTTTTTTTTCTTAAGCTTGTAACATATTTTGCAATAAGAATCTCTCATTAAAATAATAAAAATTGCTGAAATTACATGTATCTATCATCTTCCCTAGCTAAATGCTTCTGATCTGCTCAATTCCTCACAAACAGCATTTGGCCAGCAAAGAGATGGCTGTTAATATGAGTAGTTCTAACAAATGAGATCAAAAGTTACAGTACATGTACCTGTGTTGTGTGTAATACCAAACACAACAACAATAATAAAATGACAAATCTTTCAAGTTATCATGGCAGACATACAAATCTCTGCAAATGAGATTCAGTAAAAAAAGGACGCAAATTTACAATTACTGTAATTCTCTTGCATCCATTTCAACAGTAACAAAAAAGACAATTTATACAGAGTACCTGGTACAAAATTAGCAAACCACTTACCAGTAGTTAGTACCAGTACTTGAGGACATGCTTGTCCACCTTGACTTCATCTCATTTATAAAACAAATTAAATTAGGGTTCAAATAAGAAATCAACAAAAATATAACTAGAAATTCAACAGAAATATAACTTCATCTGCTGATTGTGATCATGCACTGCTTCAATTACACTAAAAAACACTTTACCAAACAAATTATTATGCAATATCTTCATTGTATTGCATTAAATATTCTCCAAAAGGAAAGACCAGAATTGGAAACACTCTGCCATTTAGCATGTGACATTTTATCCTCTGAGAACATCAACTTATTCTACAATAAATCATGGCTCAAAGCAACTGATTACAATATATGTGTTGCAAAAATACCGGTACACAAAAACACACATACATATCACAATAAATTGGGAATGAATGCAATTTTCTCATTATAGTATTTTAGTTTTGTGGCCTGCATCTTTCTTGAACAAAATCTGACAAAAAGAGACTGCTCTCTTTGGTAATATTAATTCTTCATCCAGCATGTACCAGTCTAGCCAGTAATTGTGAATTAAAAAAAAAAATCCTTAAAGTAACATCTGTACGTCATCATCATCCACTTCTGAAGCTGAAATCGGCATGTAGGAAAACAACATACGATTACGAGCTGCCGCTTGTCTTCTCTTTTTCAATCGCCAGACAACCAAGACAGCCACTGTGACGATAAGAACCAAGGCTCCTGCTGCAATTAGTCCTCCCACAAACAACCAATCAGTGCCCTTCTTACTTTGGACTTGGACTTTGTTATGAATAACCTTATCTAGTGCTGAGTCTGTGTCATTGTTGTCTTTGGGGATAATGATGGTGACATTTTCTGGAACAGGAATGCATAAATCTCCCGAGCAACAACAAACTTCTGTTTGTTCCCCTTTATCCTGTAAAAAATGGGTCATTTTAACAGTACATTTGTAAAAATTTCCAATTTGCTGTAATTCTTGAAACAATGGCAAATTTAATGAATAAGTTACTACCAGCAGGTTTGTATTTGTAAAAATTTATCATCATGGTTGAGAAATATTAAATATGGGTACAAAATCAATGCTTCCACTCCCCAAATTTCTAAATCAAGAAACTTTAAAAAACATTTTACATAAATATATTAAGCACATTTGCATTGTTACATGTATTTTAGATAGCAAATTAAAATTCAAATAATGTTATGGTTACCATGGGTTTTTCTTTAATTTGATTTGAATACATTCATTTTTATCTCTACAACACTGTGAACTAAACTACATTGCATTAATAGCAAGGATTACATTATCATTGCAAAAAAAAAAAAAACATAGGTAATCAAAAATTACAGAGCTCACCTCAATGAATGTTATCTTTAAGTAAGGCAAAGTCCCACACTAAACTAATCATCTACTAGTGTGCATCCCTAGAGGCAACATTTATGAAATTTTTGTCCATGAAGGCACAGGCCTTGATCAGTTTAATCCAATTGATAAAACTTCGAGGTATAAGAAACAAAAGGCCCATGGGCCACATCGCTCACCTGAGCACATTGGCTAGGCAAAAGCACAAATCAGTTCAGTAATTTAAAAGATTACAAGGGGGGGGGGGGGGGGGGGAGGCTTGAATTTCAAACTACCTGATGATGCTTGCATGTCAATATAACAAATGGCTTTGTTGTAAAAATTTGATCCCCAATTGTGGCTCCTCCCTATCCCAGGGGTCATCATTTGAACAAACTTGAATCTACACTACCTGAGGATGCTACCATATCAATATGACTAAACGTAGCTTTTCTGTTCTTGAGAAGAAATTTTTTTTCTATATGTTCTTATGTAAAACTTTCGATCCCCCATTGTGGCCCCACCCTACCCCCGGGGTAATCATTTGAACAAAATTGAATCTACACTACCTGAGGATACTTCCATATCAAAATGACTAAACATGATTTTCTGTTCTTGAAAAGAAGATATTTTCCTATATGTTCCTAGTACGTAAAATTTTTAATCCCCCATTGTGGCCCGACCCTATCCCCAGGGGTTATCATTTTAACAAACTTGAATCTACACTACCTGAGGATGCTTCCATATCAAAATGACTAATCATGGCTTTGCAGTTCTTCAGAAGAAGATATCTTCCTATATATTTCTATTTAAGACTTTGATCCTTCATTGTGGCCCCACCCTAACCCCAGGGGTCATGATTTGAACAAAATAAAATTTACACTACCTGAGGATGCTTCCACATAAATATGAATAATCAGGGCTTTCCTGTTCCTGAGAAGAAGATTTTTAAAGATTTTTCCTATATATTTCTTTGTAAAACATTGATCCTCCATTGTGGCCCCACCCTACCCCAGGGGGTCATGATTTGAATAAACTTGAATCTACACTACGTGAGGATGCTTCTATATAAATACGGCCAATCAGGGTTTTGCTGTTCTTGAGAAGAAGATTTTTAAAGATTTTTCCTATATATTTCTATCCATTGTGGCCCCGCCCTACCCCCGGGGGTCATTATTTGAACAAACTTGAATCTACACTGCCCGAGGATGTTTCCATACAAATATGACTCATTATGACTTTGCTGTTCTTGAGAAGAAGATTTTTAAAGATTTTCCCTATATATTTCTATGTAAAACTTTGATCCTCCATTGTGGCCCTGCCCTATCCCCGGGGGTCATGATTTGAACAAACTTGAATCTACACTACCTGAGGATGCTTCCATATAAATATGATTCATCATGGCTTTGCTGTTCCTGAGAAGAAGATTTTTAAAGATTTTTCTTATATATTTCTATGTAAAACTTTGATCCTCCATTGTGGCCCTGTCCTACCCCAGGGGGTCATGAATTGAACAAACTTGAATCTACACTACCTGAGGATGTTTCCACATGAGTTTCATCTTTCCTGGCCCTGTGGTTCTTGAGAAGAAGATTTTTAAAACATGCTATTAATTTTTCACTAATTCTTAATTATCTCCCCTTGAAAGAGGGTGTGGCCCTTCATTTGAACAAACTTGAACCCCCTTCACCCAAGGATGCTTTGTGGCAAGTTTGGTTGAAATTGGCCCAGTGGTTCTGGAGAAGAAGTCAAAAATGTGAAAAGTTTACAGACAGACGGACAGACAGACAGAAGGACTACAGACAAAATGTGATCAGAAAAGCTCACTTGAGCTTTCAGCTCAGGTGAGCTAAAGAAATCATACCCCATTTTTGTCAATCAGGTGAAAACAATCTAAAATCTTGTTGGTGCAGGTAGGGCTTGCAGTTAGTTGGGAATGGACTTGTCCTAAAAATCTTTAACTGGTCACCCATCCAGAGAATGCAGGTCAGATTTAACATACAAAGCAAGTAAGTTAGTGTGCATCCCTTGACACATCATCAATACATGTTTGGTCCAGGTAGGCCTTACAGTCACTTAGGAATGGACCTGCTCTAATAGCTGGTCAGTCATCCAGAAAGCATACTTCACATCCAGCATCCAGAGTAAGTCTGGTAGTATGCATCCCTTCACTTAAAATTATCATCTATACAAGTTTGCTTTATGAACATGATGAAGGACTTTAAATTAAATCAAAATAAACCTGCTCCAAAACCTTTAACTTGGTCACTCATCCAGAAACATACAAAGTAGGTTAAGTCCAGCATCTGAAGCAAGTCTGGTAGTGTGCATCCCTAGATGCATCATCCACCAAAGTTTGATCCAGGTAGGGCTTGAATTTATACTGGACTGAACCTGCTGCAAAAACTTTAACCTGGTCACTCTTCCAAAAAAACGGGTGGGGGGTTGAAATCCAGCATTCGAAGGAAGTCTAATAGTACACATCACTAGATGCAAAATCCATGCAAGCTTGGTTCAGATAGGGCTTGAAGATACACTGGAATGAGCCTGCTTCAAAATTTTAACTGGTCATTCATCCAGAAAATGAAGGTCAAATCCATCATCTGAAGCATGTCTTAAGTGTGTATCCCTTGAAGCATCATCCAAGTTTGGTCTAGGGAGGGCTTGAAGTTACCCTTGAATGAAACTGCTCTAAAAACTTTAACCTGGTCACTCATCCAGAAAATGTATGTCAATTCAGCATCTGAAGCAAGTCTGGCAGTGTGCATCAATAAATTTATCTTCAATGCATGATTGCCCAGCATAGGGCTAATAGTTACTTTGGAATGAACCTCCTCCAAAAACTTTAACCTGGTCACTCATCCAGAAAATGTAGGTTAAATCCAGCATCAGAAGCAAGTCCAGTGGTATGTATCCTTATATGTATCATTTTATGCAAGTCTGGTCAACATAGGATTTATAGTTACTTTAAAATAAACCTACTCAAAATACTTCAACCTGGTTGCTCATATGGAAAATGTAGATTAAATCCAGCATCCAAGCAGGTGTGTATCCTTAGATGTATCATCCATGCAAGTTTGGTCAACATTGGGCTTGTAGTTCCTTTAGAATGAACCTGCTCAAAAAACTTGAAACTGGTCTCTCATCCAGAAAATATAAGTCAGATCCAGCATCTGAAGCAAGTCTGGTAGTGTGCTTCCTTGGATGTATCATCCTGCAAATTTGGTCAATATAGGGCTTATAGTTGCTTGAAAATGAGACCTGCACCAAAAAAAACTTGAACCTGCTCCAAAAACATCATTTACCTGGTCATTCTTTGGCATCATCTCAAACTTGGACTGGTACAATGAAATACCAATACTAATAGTAATACTAAAAGCATCGTCCATGCATCTCTGATCAATATAGGGCATATAAACACTTGAAAAGAAATCTGCTCTAAAAACTTTAACCTGGGATGCTGATGCCAAGGGTATTACATAAGCTCCCCTAACTTTGTTGAGGTGAGCTAAAAATCATGTACTAGCTGAAACAAAATTTTTCCTTTTAAATACTTTGAAGGGAGGGGGATTTCAATTCATACCTCTTGTGTGTGACAGAGTTCTTCCTGAATATATGTTTTATTTGCTGCAGAACATTGTTGTTTACTCCCACACTGCAACTTTTGGTTCAAAATGGTTCCTTCTTTGTACACTGTGATGCTCATACACAAATCATCGGAACCGGAACAAGTTTCTTTGTAATGTCCTGTTTTAAAGACGTGGAATATATACAATTATATATGTCTGAATCTAAGAGTTGACGGGGAAAAGAATATCAGTAGCACAAGTAATACTTTTTACATTTTAGAATTAATACCTTCCAAGTACCGGTAGTAAATATAAAATACTGTAAAAATACTAATTTCAGTGGTAAATTATATATTTTAAATTAGCACCTTTTGAGCTGCTTCTTGTCCACTAATTCATGTACACCCTAATACATTTTGTTCTCATTAAGACTCAAAAGTGCTCATTTAGGATTAATTGCACTAAACAAATGTAGCAGAAAATTAAGCTAAATTTTAAGTGCACTAATTTATGTATGCAGTTTACTATAATAAACAATATAATACAGGTAACTCTTGATGGCTCAAACTTCGATCTCTCGAAGTTCTTGATCGCTCGAAGTGAGTCTCCGGTCCCGAATTTTTCTCCTATATAACTAAGCAAATTTACTCTTGATATCTCGAACTCTTGATCTCTCGAAACCCTTGATCCCTCGAAGTCAAAATGCAGTCCCGCTATGCATATTCTGTAAGAATTTACCCTCAATACCTCGAAGTGGCTATGTGTACACCAGGTTACATAATTAACACCTTTACCTGGACATTTAAATGGCCCCAGGCAGAAGACGCGGGTCTCGAGGAAGGGGATGTTTATTCAGGTGACACTTATGCTGCAAGGTGATAATTGATTTATAATAAGTCATATTTTGCCTATATGCTATTAAAATAATTATCATCGACTGTCTTACGATAATTTAGAGACGCAGTGTCCGTGAAAAGTAGTAATTGATTACAAGACGAAACAATAATTTAATTTTTATTTTGAGTCAGTGTCAAAGTTAAACGAAATATGAAAAATCAGAAACAGCCACAATGTCAATATGACGACTATTATTGGACAAATACTTACAGAACTGCATTCAATGATAATGTTTGGAATAGTCAATGCTATATGTACGACGCTGTAAAATGTCGTTTTCATGTAACGAATGCGCAGTATGATGTCCGTATTACAAAGAATAAATAAATAATTATACATGAAGTGACGATATACATTTTTTTTGCTTTACTTAGTTTAATGAAATATTCATCTAAATCACTTAAAAATATTGTTGTTTTATAAAATCCACGTGTAAACAGTCTAGCCGAACTCCAAAAACAGCGTGAACTCCGAAAACGAAGTCTTTGGCTCCATCATGCATTGCGCCAAAATGGCGTCCAGTGTAAACAAACGATGGATTATCGTTCGCTTTCTCCAAATATACGGCTGCATAATGGCTGTATTTAGTGCAATATTACTTCATTTTATTTTTTGTTGAATGGATAATTGCATTTATTAAATTATTTTGTTAATATTGACTTATTTATCGCTTCAAACTCTTGCATATTAGTGAATTGGATATACGGCATCAAATTCAATACTGCCGGTAAGAAATATTTTCTTATTAAATTTATTGTCTCCTTGATTTAAATTTTATGTCGTTCCTACACTAAAGGTGCTTTTATTTGTTTTTGAAGACACCCAACTTGTATTTATTTTAATCAGAAAATGTGCATTTTTCACCACGGAGCAGATGTATTAACAGGTTCATTTTTAGAAGACATGTTGTGCCCTTAATATCTAGAAGAGTGGGTTTTAAAGTCTTCATATTGATAGATAATAGTTTTAAAAATGTGTTCATAATAATATCTGTTCGTATATGGTAAAAAATCGGTAAATAACGATGGTAAAAACTTACGCGTCCAATTCAGATGTCGTACACAAATAAAAAACCGGAATGCTAATTTATGTGTAAAATTCAGTCAAGTTTTTAACAGTTACAATATATATTGCCCCATTTTGCAGATATATCCCTTTTTTATGCATATTTACTTCTCAAAACGTATCATTTTCTCTATAATTGATCTGACTTGAAACGTTAACTTTGAAAGTAAATATCTCATTTTTTGCAAATAAAATCAAAAATCTGACAAATACGATCTCTTCCGAAGTCTTTTATTTAGCATTTCTGAGTACTGGTATAATTGCCATACTTTCCAAAACTTTGCACGGACAGTTTTTGTAGACCCATTATTTTTGCCGAAAAATCGCCATTTTTTGTGTGTGTGCGCATGCGCGGACTCTTTTTTCGGAGTCTTTTTCAGTCTCAATTTCTTACTTCCGGAAACGCTGTTTTTGGAGTTCGTCTAGACTGGTAAAAGTTAGCACTGCATGAAAATCATTACATCCGGTAAGACTAATTTTAAAACCTGTTAACAAACCCGGAAAATTCCAGACTCTTGAAAACTCGAACTCTTGATATCTCAAAGTTTTCGTTCGGTCCCGCGGACTTCGAGGTATCGAGAGTTACCTGTATGTATGTAAGACTCAAATTAAATAACTAACTTTCTTCTGTATATGACTAAATTTTCCCAAGGAAAGAAAAATTGTGAAAGGTTATCTGCATTAATGTCCTTCATTTTCTTACACGAGAAAGGGACAATAAAATTGTGATTAAAAAATCAATGTGTTTATGTTCATGTGTCAAAATTCAGTGTTTTCAATAAGAGCTGGCAACCGGCAAAATTAACTGCCTGTACGAGAAATTTTGCCGGCTATGAAATTTCCGTAATTGGGATTTTTTGGGGGTTGGTACGCGAAATCTGTAGATTTTATCGCGACTATCTATATTTCTAGAGTAACTTCCCTTGAGTGCGCTCTTTTTCATTGAAGTTTGATTTGATCCAATATGTACTACAACTACTGAACAAGGCAGTTCAAGGCTACAACTCGCGAGAGCAACGTTTGAAGAATAAATTTTTAACGAATAATTCCAACCTCATATAAAATTCACAACTCAACGATCGGGATTTAACTTTAGCTATACAAGATATGATCAAGATTATTGGGAATTTGGCGCTTCATTGACGCAAGTGTCAGGTATCTACGGCCTAAAATGTCGAACAGGAAAATATGTTGTTTTTTTTTTAACATTCACTGTCACTTCACAAGCTAGGTCAAGATTATTACAACAGCAAATATTTATATCTAGACCGATAAAATTGTAAGACCTTACAAATAAAAGTCATTTTTTTAATCGTGACTGAGACATGGGACAAAGGAATTCTTACAGAATTTCCTCAAATTGAAAATGTAAATTTGTATTCTCGTTTATTTGTGTTAGCTCTCTTGAAGTACAGGAACAGTTTAACTTTTCACAAGAAGGTTTTTATGTACTAGTAATTTGTATTTGTATCCATTTTCTTAATTATTTCGTTCTGACAATCTGTACAAAATAGTAAGTAAATTTAAAGATTTATGATATTTTAGTCTGCAGATTACAGAATGCAGAATATTTCATTTGGGGGGGGGGGGGGGGGGGGGGTTGTACGTCACTACGTGTTAAAAAGTTTATTTTTAAATAAATTATTTCCTTAATTTTGAATAATTTTCCTGACTGGTTAATGTGAAAGGGACTAATTATGCAGCATGAGTATGAAATGAAATTCTAGCACAAACAATTGTCTGTCAGTCTGTTAAAAGTCCATATAACAAATCAGTGAAAGGGTACAAATTGTTTTCTAAATGGCTTTAATAGGTAAAATTTGGTATATAGTGACAGAAATGTGAAAAATTTATTGGCCTAAGAGGTAAGAAAAATGAGTCAAAAATGCCAATTTCCGTTTTCGGCCAAGGGGCTTTGCCCATCCCCCCCCCCCCCCCCCCCGGGCCCCCTACCAGGGCTCTGCCCTGGGCATGAGGCGGCCCCCAGACCCCTCGCCGAGATTGGTTTCCTTCTGTTCCATATATATTTCCTTCTATTGAAAATCTTATTGAAAACACTGCAAAATTGTCATTTTAGAATTTTGATGCCTGATTAGCAAATGGAATTTTATATCTTAATTGCATATCTATAATGTCAAACTTCATATATTTTATACAATTCTGGTAAAGCAATTAGAAGCGAAGAAAATCAAATATAATTTTTTTTTATTATGATACACAAAACCTAAATAAGTGCTTTTAAAAATATTCAGTACATACTGTAAACCCTTAGGTAATTTATAATGATTTTCATAACTAATCCATTGAAATACACACACCTTAATAAACTAGAGTTTACATAGATATCAAGGGCAATTTTCAATAGTAACCTTTTGTAGAGAAATTTAAAAATATACTAATCAGCTGTCAAAACTTAAAAGTTCAAAATTTACTTCAAGTTGCAAATATCATCATCTAACCCTTAATAAATTTCAGATTCCTGTGTTTTGTTAAGATCACAGAATCATGATCAATGCCTTCAATTAACCATAACATACCCATGGCCACTGTTCCATTAGACTGAAGATTATTACAAACAGGCTTTATCACCGGCAAAACATCAGGGTTATGATTACAGTTGTCTCCCTTACAGCATATAAGTATAACTTCAATATCATTTACTGTTGTCTACAAAAAAAATGTGCTATATCAATGCTGTTCTCTAATTTGAATCTTTCTTAAGATTTATACAAAATTAATGTACTTTTTCTATGTCCATCCATGATAAAAAGCAAATGATAAGCTGATAATCATAAAAGAAGGTAGTCACATGTTTGATGGTACTCATACTTAATACCTATTCTTTTATATGAACAAGATGTAAATACAGTCAAACCTTGTTATCTCGAACTTGATGGGACCGAGAAAAAACTTCAAGATATCCAAGGGTTCGAGATATCCAAGGGTTCGAGATATCAAGGGTAAAATACTTAAGAAATATGTGGCAAGGACTTCCCAATCAATTCGACATATCCATGGTATTTGAGATATCCAAGTTCGAAATACCAAAGTTCAACTGTACCAATAATTTTCAACAAAATATAAATAGTGTTCAAGACTGAAATGAAGTATCATTTTAACTACTGGTGGTATACTTTTGATATGAGATTCCTCTTACACAAATGCCCTCCCTTATTATTTGGATGTTACCATGTGTTTATATAGATACGTCCATTAAAATCCACTAGTGATGTCACTCTTTTGTTTGAGGGCTCCATTATTTTTCAGGAATGGACAGTTGCAAATTACACTGAAAATGGTATTTGCTATGTTCAAATTCTTCTTCCCATACCTCTACCAAAGAAAGAACTTAGAAAATTTCATTAACTAAAGTTTATTTTCATACTAAGAAAAAATCATAATGGTACCGCTGATAATCGAACCCTGGTACCCTCACCAAGATAGACATTTGAATTTCATCTCACTACGCCATCGAAGCTGTAGTGATGGGATATCGGTTAATTTTCATAATCGATCATCGGTTGGAATCGGTTACTGCTTCCGATGCGATTTTACCGATTATAATTGGATGTCATAGTTTTGTGTATAAAAAGCAGACTATTACAAATATTTTATATTTCTTTAACATGAATATATTAAATATATAATATATAGTTTTCTTTGTTGTTTTGCTTCTTTTACACTTTCTATATATGCACCTTTTGGTTCTTAATCACCTCTGCTTTGTGTTAGTTGGCTTTGTAATGGCCATTTTCTTTCATTACAAAGAAATAAATTTCAAACTGAGAATGTATAATTCCAGAATGCATTTAAAAGAAGTACGTTTCCAATGATCGATTATGAAAAATAATAATCGATGATCGAAATCGGTAGCATTTTTTTGTCGACAATCGATGTTTTCTGATTATCGGTACAACACTAGTTGACAGATTGGATTTAAATTACTTAATAACACTTTACTTGCCTTCCTCTCCCTATATATATATATATATATATATATATATATATATATATATATATATATATATATATATATATATATATATATGTATATATATATATGTATATATATATATTAAATACTGTGTATCTTTTATATATTTTTCATTAATATATATTAACAAACAATAATTACAAGCATTTAAAACAGTGGATTTTAAGCGGGTTAATGTACAAGTAGTGCTCCATTCCTTAAAAGATATGGGCCTCGGCCCCTTCAGGGCCTCAGCTCCATTACTTTTAAGGAATGGAGCGCTACTTGTACATTAACCTAAACGTAACATCCTAGTACTGTATTACGATGTACATCTAAATTACTTAAAAAAATTCAATGAATTTTCATATGAAAAGTGAAATAGTAATTTCCAAACCTTTACATGTGTTCCCACAATACTATCATTACAGAGTCCAAGGAAATCACACGAGGCATTCCTGTGAGCTGTTCTTGCAGAAACTGGGTCAGACTCAAAGTTTAATGATGTGGAATTGTCATGATAAATAAGCTCATAGCAGAAGGACACAACCTGATCACCATCTTTATTTTGAATTGTGGTATTGTCTGGGGCAGCTGTTGTCGTATTATTTTCTATGGTACATGACTGATTTGATATTGTTGATTTATCATGTCCACTCCAACAATACAGATCCATGCCACTGCAAAATTATAACAAAAGGTCAATAGCCACTATTTCCGTATGGCGCTAGTACACTTTTTACAAAGGTTTCAAAATGAATTTAACAATATGGCCATGTTCATGAAAGTTCATCAGATTTTAAATTGATGATGCCTGACAATTTAACATGTTCGAACACAATGTCCTAATTAACACAAAACATGCTACTTTACGAATTTAGTATTCACAGAGTTAACTGAGGTTAAGGAAATCACATGGTGATTAATATTCAATATTAATTGAATAATATATATACATGTACATGTATTGTAATATTCAAATTGAATGTCACAACCCTTGCTTACAACAGAGAGAGAGAAATGTAAGAAGAATTATTTTTTTCTCTTGTAAACCATGACTGCATGTTTGTCTTTTATCTATGCAAATATACAACTACCGTTAAACAGAGAACAATAGAAAAACATGCACTGATGATGTATAAAGTCAGTAAAACAATGGAAGTCTTCATTATTGTATGGAGATTCAAGAAATTGTGATTTAACTTCCGTCTGTGAAAACAGATTCATACTTCATAAATACATACTTTTACTTAATGTATTTACGTAAATTTGTAAATTGGATGTTGACCATTCTTGCACTTATAAGAAAAATGCTCATTTTGAAAGTTTATATGCATGTCCTACAGTGTATTCATCCTCTAAGGTCTCCTTCATCATTTTGAAATCTGATTTATTGATTATGTTACAATGACTGTTTTGTTTTTCTACACAAACAATCTTTATACAATAATCACTGCATTAAATTACTTCAAACGTAATTCTCTTTTGAAAAGTAATGAACAGACACAGCCTTCATCAATGCCTCAATGAAAGCTATGTGTATTCACTGACTATCAAAAAATGTATGAATAATACATATACTACAAACACACACACATACCTAATTATTATAAAATCAAATTGTAGTGGTCGTATTACATTTATCAGAAACAAAAGATACTGCACCCTTCACCAATATATTGTCTCTCAAAAATATTGTCTAATACATCCTTTACTTCAAAATGGAAATTCTAGTTTCATAGTTTGACGACAAAATGATCAAATTTAGGAAATAGTATGAAAAAAAGGTAAGCCTAAACAAACGAATGAAAAAAGAGATAATACATGTATTTACATCATCTTTTTTTAAAGCTTGATTTAACTTTGTACTTCTATTTGTAGCTTTGTACAGAGAAAGTAAAGCCTAGCAAACAGCTTACATGCATTTACTTTAATTGAATTATCACAAAATATGTCTGGTGGATCTAGTAGTAGTTTCAGTGGGTGTGTTTGAAAAAGGGGGAGGGGAGTATTCAACATTATTGTACACCGAATGATTTTGTTTGTTTGTTTGTTTGTATGTAGTTTAACGTCCCTCTTGAGAATTTTTCACTCATATGGAGACGACACCACTTGCCGGTGGAGAACTGCATATTTTGTCCTATACTCGGCACTTACGGCCATTGAGCAGTGAGGGATCTTTTTCGTGCAAGCACCTACTGCGACACGGGACCTCGGTTTATACTGTCTCATCCGAAGGACCGGTCTCCACGTCCCACAGTGGGATTCGAACCCGCGACGTAAGGATCAACTCCTTACGCCGCGACTCTAGAGCAGACGCTCTAACCACTGCACCACGCGGGCAACCACCGAATGATTAAATTCAGCACTGAATTGTAAATTTTTAACCTACATTGTATCATAACAAGGACTGCTGTGCTGATAAATTGGATAATGAATCTTAGCGCATTATGAAAATTTGTCTGCACATCCATCCATGTTAATGACACAATGTACATAAAGAATTTACAATTCAGTGCTTATATATTTACATTTATAGATTTCATGGTAAATTGATTAAGTATCACTTCTTTTCATTAGTACACACTGCAATTGTATAACTAAATATTTATAATGAACTATTGTCATAGCACCAATTTTCAACAGTAGAAATTGTGACAGTCTTTGTATCAATATCTCCTTTGTAGCCAACAAAATGGATGGAGGGGAGGTTACCATTACAACAACAATGACTTTCAAATTTCAACATGGTACATTAAGTAAGTGAACTTTTTTCCTTATATAGAGTTCTAGTATATTATGAATTAGGTAAAAATGTTATTTACATGTTTAAGTAATTCAGAACTGATTTTAAGTGCAACTTTGGAGCATTTAAGGTTTTATTCCAATGACATTCTACTATAAATAATGATAAATGGTATATATTTGAACTGCTTTACCATTGTAACAGGAAAATGTGATGCACCAGACCAGGATTCAAACCGGAGCCCCCTGAATTACTAGTTAGTTCTATCAACAGAGCTATCTGGCCACTGGTGATCGAACCTGCCTGACCACCACATTATACTTTGGGACAGATTGGGTACACTTTGTGGTCATGCACAGACAAACTAGTTCCTCTTACACCACATTAGAAGTATTAAATGTCTGCAACTCTTTGATTACCCTCTAGTTATCATTGCTTGAAAGCTTTTTTACTGGAAACTTTTTATAAGTCACACGTACATTCTTAGCATTGATGCTTACATCATATTAAATAATCATGATCATTAAGAACCAAACATATTGATGATTTAATAACTTTGCTAGTCTTTAAACATCTTTTCTAAAGTTATTCCCCTTTTGAATCAAGCAACATTTCAATTCTTAAATACCACATGGGATTACAGAGAAATATACTACAGGAGTGGTCCATTTCCTTTCATCAACCTGAAGTTTATTAATGAAGGTCTATGCCACTTACTCAACAGTGCACTGTATTTAATCAAACAAAATGAGAGCAAAATCAAACCTTGATCATCTTGCAGTAATATACGTACTACATATATGTAGTCCTTTGTTCAATAAAATTCCCATAATAACAGTATATTCATACTCATAGTCATTTCTATTTTAATTAAAAACTTCAAATACTTAACAATGACACTTGAGAAAATACAAAGAAAAATAACCAGTAGAACATTATAAACACTTACTTTGTTAAAGAAACCCCGAATAACGCTATGAAAGTAAATAAGTAACTATTCATTTTGAAGTCGTTCATTGTAATTTCTTCATTTTCTGGAAATCGAAACTAATGACGTAATTAATTGACTCGCGTGCCCGAACTTATATTTCACATGCAGTCGCATTCTCTTTCACTAAATACGAACAAAAAAGAAAATCGATGCTATTTAAAATTTTCTTAATTATGAAATGATAGGAAATGTATTTTAACAGTTCAGCTGTTTATAGAACAGAACATGATTATGCTGTCTATCGGGATCGAGTTTCTTAAAAAAAGAAAAAATTGGCGGGAATTCGGAGAAGCAGGCTCTGTAGCCAGGGACGTTTAAAGGAGAAATGAGAATAACAATAAAATATGCAGTAAAACTAAAAGCGATATTGTCACTATCGTTTTTAGTTTTACTGCATATTTGCTGAAATGAGATCGAAGATGATTGAACTAGCTGGTATAAATGCTATCAATTATAGATGATGGGCGAAATGTTCACCAGTGTTCACACAGCAATCTAGAATCCAGGCGCGGATCCAGGATTTGAAGTTAGGGGAGCGCAAAAAGTAGGCAGGGGGTCTGGGGGCCGCCTTGAGGCGGGGGCCTGGGTGCGAAGCCCCCGGAAGCTACTGGATTCTAGAGGTTTTGTAGGGTAAAAATGAGGTCTACCGAGTAGACATTTTTACGTTTTCTAGACGAAACTATGATTTACGCTTACTTTGACAGTTGGGGGGGGGGGGGGGGGCTGGGTGTGACCCCTTAAATCCTCCACTGGAATCTGTTGTTTCCCTTAAGTGTTGACCCTAAATGTTGACATCTGTAAGTGCATACAAGCGCAGAAATTAATGTCCAAACTAGAAAGAGGTTTCGTTTAAAATTTGCACTACTTATGTATGGGTAAAAAGGCAGAGTGAGCAGTGGCGGATCTAGAGTGGGGGGGGGGGGTGACCCTGATTTTAGTTTTAAAAAAGAAGAAAAAAAATGGAAGTGATTATAAAGAGAGAATTGTCTTCACATGTAAATAGAATTCTAAGATTTATCCTGACCTAGCTTTTTTATTGAAACAATGATTTATGTGTTTTGTAGTAAAAAGTTCAGTCTTTCAAAATGTCATGAATCTTCTGAGATTTTTCCAACTGGACCTGAACTAATTTGGCTTCATTTGCCCTGGACCCATTGGGAGCCTCAAAGCGACCCCAGACCTCTTGCCTAATTCGCATGAACATTATACTTAATTAGGCTGGTTATGCCACTGATGTATTATCGATGTAATATAGTTTTTACTAGGGCCGTCATTAAAATTTTTTTATTTGATGTACTCCGACCCACATTTTTCAAGGTGGGTAGGTAGGTATGTATAAGGTAGTTTTTTTAATTAAATATTTTCTAACATTTTGTCAATTGCCTATAAACCACTGTGAGACTTAGAAATTTTCATTATAGACACCTGACAGCTAAACAAATTATATAAATTATCTATTTCTTTAAAGTCTTTTAATCTAAAAAGTATCTTAGAAAATTGAAATTGATAGACCTTAGGTATTCCATCCCTAATAACCTCAGATTCAATAAATTTGAATATTACATAACATATGTGTACGGGTGGAATACTCGGTATATTTAGACATAATTACTATTTATTACTATTAGCATGTAAGAATGGAATGTTGTCCTAATTTATGACCTGGACCTTGTTGAAGAGATATAGATCTCCCTTTTTTTTTTTTTTTAAGTTATAAAAATCAATTTTTAAAAATCTATATGGTAAAAAAAAAAATGTTTTCAATTGTCATTCTATTTGTGTTGATTTAATGCATCTTTCCACCCCAGTATTTATTGATATTATTTTAATTTTTATTTTAAAAAAATTATTTGTGTCCATAGATTTCAATGCAATTTCTGTTAATTAATTACTGCGTAGTTAATTACATTTTTGAAACTTTCTCTTGGCAAATTCTTTTTCTACTGTAAAATGCTTTGAATTAATATCAGAGTATTATGTACGTGATGGATATTTAAGGATAGAGAATTAGATCCTATTAGAGATGGAAAACAAGCAATACAGATAATCTATTTTAAAAAAGAGAAAAGAATTTGACATACTGAAAAAATTGATTGGGTAGGGGCAATTTTAATGGGTTAGTCAGAGTACATCAAACAGATCATTTTTTGTTGTTGACCTAATTTCTTATAGTAAATGTGTGTCAGTAAATTTCTTTAAATACAATGAGTTTTTTTGGTTCTACGTTTGGTCGTACAAGTATTCCTATCAGAGCCCGGTTTTGGGGTTGTACATGTAAACGTTTGTTAATGTATAAACATTAAAAAATTAAAATTGGGATCCTTGCCTGAAAAGTGACCTCATTTTGGAGTGAAACAGAAGTATAAGTATTGAATTATCCTTCCTAGTGGCATGGGTTTCTGATCCGAAATCTATGTTGTCGAGTAGATTTCAGATTGGAAATCCTTGGCTAGCAAAAGTGTCCCAATGGTAGTCTCTTAAGTTTTTTTCCCCCAGGCTTTGATTATTTTTTGATCTATTGTAAAAACAATGTTGTAGGCTTTCACCTTCATCTATTCCTTCTTGATACAGTGGGCAACAGAGGGTGAACTCTTTAACCAATTCAGGACGAAAAGTCAGGTAGGCAGTATATGTATATGCATGGATTGGGTTGTCATGCCTTTATGTTGTACCTCAGCTTTTCCATCCTTCTTTACTCTTAGAACACCACTTTATGTTAAACCCCCCCCCCAAAAAAAAAAAAATTCAATCTTAATTAATGCTAGGAGCAATTTTTTATGTATAATTTCTTACCATAACCAATCTGTATGACCTGACCTTATCTTCCTTTGTGTGTTTCCTTCAGCTCAATTTCGAAGAAATTGTTCAAGTTCAATAAAAATGTTTTAATCAAATCTGATATTCATGCAGTTGTATTAACAGTTGACTATAATTCTGTTTAAAGCAAATCTTGGGTAATGGGGAGATAACTTGGGAAAGAAAAAGTGATGAATATATCAAATATGTATTTTGGTAAAAAAATCTTCTTGTTAAGAACCACAGGGCAGCTAGATTTTAATTAAATTTCTATGAGTGTAAGGATGAGAATATATTGTTTAATAAAATTTTTCATGGCATTACTAAACTGTAAAAGGCTTTGTATAAAAGAATACTTTGTTAAAATTTAGATACAGTTGAACTTCATTATCTCGAACAATGATATCTCAAATACCATGAATATGTCAAAGTGATTTGGAAGTGCCAACCACTTATTCTTTAACTGTTTCACCCCTGATATCTCCAATACTTGGATATCTCGGAAGTTTTTCTCGGTCCCATCAAGTTCAAGATAACATTTTGCACTCATCAAATCGTAAAAATTGATGCATTTAGGGGCCTCAGGCATGACAACCAAAAGAATGCTATGATGTCTTGATTTTGAAATTGTCTGACATTTATTTTCAGATTGGTTGAGAATGCATAATTTGGACACTGTAAAGTTTATTATCATCAAACCTTTTCAACAAATGCATGTTGGGGCATCAGGGTGAGCCTATGAAAAGTAGGTCACAGTAAAGTGCTTTTCTGAATTTTTACCCAATCCATTTTCAATTTTTATCGCTAAAGAAATTATACTATTGGGTGTAGAATCATTTAACTTTGTAAATCAATTCATATTTGGGACTCACTAATTGATACATAAAAAGAATTTTTAGCTATGCATATTTTGAACACTATAAGATTTGGTTGCAGACTGTCAGTCGTGAAGCAGAAGGATGTTGTGCCTTTCAGTGGAGGTAGGATGCTGAAGATTTGTGGGGCAGTCCATGTGGGGGGCTTTACAGCAGGGTCATTGGAGTAACTGCGGGTATCAGAAAAGCGTGAAGAGTAGTGAAAAGTGTAACATTAGTAACATTAGTAACGTTTTGTGTATGGACATTTTTGTAACCATATCCTGTGTGTTGAAGCAGAGACATCATAAACAACATGAAGAAGGGCGGAAAGCTGAGTGGTTTCAGACTGGGACTTGAATGCCCTAGTCAGGGCACCTTTGGAGGTTGTAGTGGACATGCAATGCCTAAACAGCCCATGATGGGACCATGAAGCATCTGTACAACATGTATACAGGTTTGTAAAAATAAATATGTATTTTCATGAAAACTGAACCTCTTAAATGAAATCATTAACATGATGAAGCTAATCAATTGTTAATTAATCAACAGAAATCACTAATCAACCTGTATCTATATAGATGTTAAAATATATATATGATATATTATTACTTATATAAATAACATTTGTGATTTGTGCATAACAAATATATGTGCAGTTACAATCTAGGCCAAACTTTTAAAGAATCACATCTCAACAACTAAGTTGAATCCATTGAACATTTTGACCATTTTAGATACATGTCACTGTGAAATTCCATTGACTTGTATATGATAACAGTTATTATAATTAATGTTTGGTCACATACTACATGAACAAATTGTAGAGAGTGAGAAAAAAAAAAGGTTTTAAATTTTATCACTTGTCGATAATAAATCCCTGTAGTAACTAAGAAATGGGATATGCCTTTGGGATGTTAATTTGAATAAATAAAAACAAGAGTTGCTTCAGTGCTTTTTGGTTAGATTTAATTGTGCATACCTTGTACATGTTATAGTTTTATTGATTGTTCCTGAATAATGTGGTATAAAGTTGCTGATTATATTTAGCAGGAAGTAGAGTCAACTAAAGTTGAGGCAATAAAGTTCACATATTTAAAAGACGAAATTGCATTATCTGTCTTTGGAATGTTTACCTGTCTTTGTAACCACTGAGTAAAAAGAGACCACTTTATCTTGTTTTGAATGCAAATATGTTTTGACAAAATTATCTTTTGCTTTGACACTCTCTGGCCAGTGGTAACGAAATAGCATTCTCTTGGCACTTTCCAGTGCCCTAACCATTTAAATCTGAGACAGATTGAAAGGGAGGATTTAATTGGCACCTAAAGTTGTGGAATAATACACCGTTTTTACAATCTTTCAATATTTTCTCGGGCTTATTCATGGAATTACAGGTGTGATTTTATTGAGCGTGATTAAGATATACAGTGATCAGTGGTGATTTCAGGCTTTTTCTGCGTATTTCTAAACTGATTTTGTTGTGGAGTTAAAATTATATTGAATTTCCCATGGATTTATCATGTTTAATAAAAATTTAGAGGTAAGTTTAAAATGAAAAAATTATTACCTGTCTGTAAAGTACAATTTAAATGTACTTTTAATGTTTCTTGGAATTTTAAGTCAAAAGATCCTAAACCAACTTCTATTTTTTTTTTTTAATTCCTTTTTGATGATTACAATATTTTGAGTGTAAAAAATATTTTGTAATGTTAACATATTTTAAAAGTTATGAATTGAATTAAATACACTAGACAGGACAAGGCAATATATTCTCATTTGTATTATGCATAAATTATAGATAAATTGTTTAAAAAAAAAAATTACAATGAAGACCAAAAATAAATAAATAAATAAACAAATATTTTTTTTTCACTTTTATTGAAGTGTATATTTCTTCATCTGTTTTGACATTTGATTCCTTTGTTTTAATTTGAACAAAACTTTGTAAAAGTGCAGAAAAATAGAGAATACATTATTTCTCTTTTTTATTGATTTAATCCCTTCACAAGTCACAACAGAATTGCAAGCAGATAATGTAACTGGCCCGTACCTGCAACACTAAAATTGCCTTGGACACGATAATGTGGAGTATAATTGATCTTTTAGCTGCACACTTAATTGCGACTGAGGTAGAAAACAGCCATCGTTGCATGCATATAAATTTCTTTGAGGGGGAAAAATCAAAGTGGATGTCTTGTTAGGAATAGATGTCTCCATCATTACCTATATTAGGAACATGATTAAATGTACATGTATATATATTTTAATAGAGGAGAGAGAAAGAGAGTAGAGTTTGACATTTCAAACTAGTACTTGATACAGAGATGCAGAGATAGGAAAAAGTGAATCAATTCCGAGGTCAGGGTCAAAGTAAACAAATGTTGTGGGGTCAAGTGAAAGTGCCACAAACTTGACCTTTCAATCTTCTACTTGTAACATTACATGTTGGCTGGAGGAGATTTTGATTTCAGTTCAAAAGGTGAAATGTTTCCATGGTTACTAGAATTTTTTTTTAACTTGATACTTCTTTCCATGTAATTAGAGGATAAAAATAGTTGATTTTTAAAGGGGGGAGGGGGGGGGGATTAATTAGTCCTGGTTTACATTTTCTATCAGAGTGGTCAAACCAATAGGCTAACTAAAGACTTAAGTTTAAGCAAGCAGAGTTTTGACAAGTAAGTTCTAGTTATAATTTTTTTTTTTATAATCTTTTGAAGTAATACATGTATGTTCAAATAAAGTATACTTTCCTGTTCAGAAAATATACATGTAATCAGGTGATTTTTAATTTCTCTTTTTTTATTTTTATTATGTAAAAACAGAAGTTAAGAGACATGTTTAAACATATACATTGACGAATCTATTTGATCACATAGGAATATGTACAAACAAACAAAAAAAACCAAACCATTGCTTCATACATATTAAGATGTTAAAACAAGGACCTATATACCATAGGTCATTGATTAATGGGTGATAAAGAATACATTTTGAACATTTTGAAGATTCTGAAAATTTGAAGTGCTTTGATAAGCTGCACAGCTGTGAAAATGATAGGCATTTTTACATTGTTGTAACATAAATCTCTTTCAATCTTTTAAAAATTTAATTTGTTGGGGTTTTATTTTGTGTCAGTAATTTAAATGAATTTCATTCACTGTAATTTCTTAAAGAGGATTAAATTTGATAGTCTATATAAAATTTAGAAATCAAATTAGGCCTGTTTACTGACATATTTATGCAGTAACGTAAACATGCATTATAGAGGCAGATTAAGGAATACCTTTAATGTGTGTATGCCCCCCCCCCCCTTCATTTAAACCATATCAAGATAGAAAAGAAAATAACAAGGTTAATAAAAATTGGCCTAATTATCTTGGTACATGTAGTTGTACATGTGAGGGAAGGGGGGGGGGGGCATGGTGGTTGTATGCACTACAAATGTTGATACATGTATTCATGTTTTAGGGTTGAGGGTATTTATTCTAAATGTAACTATATTTATATGCAAGAAATGATCTTTTTGCCATGTCATGTACACCTTCCAGCTAATTCCTTTGTTTTATTTTCAATAGTTTTACAAAAGGGGTGTCAATTTGCAGGTTTAGATAATTATTCTCTCACAAGAATGGTAGGGCTACATGTATACATTGTGAAAGAAGATATGCAGCTCTGCAGTAGAATAGTTGAAATTGTGACTTTTTGCTCTGTTTAATAATTGTTTAGGGCCACACAGCTTCATACATGCAAAGTTGGAACTCTGTGACTGTGTACTTAGTGTGACAGAGGGACTTCTTGCTGGAATATTAACAGATTTTAAAAAGTCGTTTTAATGATGTTAATTAAATAAATCTTGGATCCCTCTAGTCGCGTTTTACTTCCCTAGATGTAAAATATTGATTATAGGTAAATATCTATCACATCTAAAGAAATATTCACCTACCAATATCTATCATATCTATAGATTTTTTTCTTTGGCATACCCTGGTTGTTAAGTCTGTACAAAATTTATAAGGTCAAAATGCTTCAGTTTGAAAAACAATCTGTAGCAAAACTTCCTTCACCAGATCTCAAAGATCACAAAATTTACTGAATTTTTGAGCTTTCTGAAATCAGACTAGAAACACAATTTTGATCTAAATAATGAAAATCCAGGGGAGACTATGCATTACTGTTTACATACTTTTAGTGATTAATGTTTTACAAGGTTGCTAAAATAGAATTGTGAATCATATAGCCATGAGGGAGAGAAGAGTTATTTGACTGATACATGTGATAATATCAGAGCTGTTTACTTTTAAGGAAATTCTATATTAATCCCGGATTTCTGTTCTGAAATAAAATTTAAAATATGGACTATGGGTTGGCCTCCAAAAATTATGCTTCTTGGTTATGCTCCAAATTTCAGTTCTTTTTATGTTGTATTTAATTTAATACATCAGCGATGATATGGTTTCACTTAAAAAACTTAATAACACTGATATAAGTTTGGATTGCTAGTATGCATGATACATGCTGACAAAATGGATATCAACTAGAACTTAGTAAGGATCATTCTCATCTAAATGCTATGAAATATACATTAGAAAATTTAGACAATGTATTGCCAACATCAAATTACAAATGTAAAGCACAGATTACAGACAAAAACCATTTAAGTCACAGAAAACTGCAGAATAAGGGTGAACAGCTCTGCAATATACTTTCTCATATTGATTTTTACAAGAGTAGAGTAAATTTTTTTTTTCTTTTTTATTTATTTTTTTTTTTTTACTTTAACAGAGCTTCCCCATGAAAAATGTATTGATTTCTCTTTAGTTTTTTTTTTTAATCCCAGGTAACATTTCTCAAACTTATTTAATTTGTACATTTGAAGAAAGAGCAGGTTTAGGACATTGTGATAGAATTTCCTAATTATCAAGAATAACGTCTGGGCTACGTAGAATGAGCTATCAAAAAGCAGTAACAGTAATGCATTAAATGTAATCAAAGTAATGCAGATCTGAAAATCTTTCCAAATATAAATTATATTGGTACTTTTCATGATTTTTTGGTTTTGTGAAAAAAAAAAAAAAAGTTTAAATATAGTACTTTATAGGTTAAAAAATGATGTGATCTTAATTTGAACTTTTCATATTTAAATTAACCAGCCCTAAGCTATTGTAAAAGAAGTACAAATGCAGCAATAGTGTGAATTGTCATTTATTGAAATGACAAAGATTTTATCAATACAAGAAAAGGGGAGATCACAAGATGATAAATTGGTGTTTGAATAGACATAAATGATATAAGTTACAGACTGGGTTTATTTTCACCATTAAATCCCATGTTAAATAGAAATTTTGAAGTACTTTCATCTTCAATGAGAACAGGACATTCATGTTCTTTGATTCATCAGGTTTATTCATGAAAAATTTAATGCACGTATTACAAGTACTGCCTGTTCTGGATTTTAAAGATTAACAAACCATTTTAAGAAGCCTTGAAAATTTTGGCTAATGCTTTTTTTTTTTTTCAAGCAAAAGCTGACCTTTATAATTAATATATTCCTCAGCGTTACTATTTTGTCTATCAAAGCTAGCGTGATGAATTTAGATTACATGTACCACTGTGTGTATTAAAAAAAGTAAACAGGTTTTAATTTTGTCAACTCAGATAGAAGCAATTATTTTGACTTGCACATTAACTGCCAATACAAAATTAAGGTAATTTGATTTCTTTTAAAACAGAATTTTACTGTATTGCCATTTTATTGACAGTGTGTTGTGTATCAGGAAAAAGGACTAAAAAATTGGCCAGACTTTTAAATAAATCTGGCGTGCTAAGAATTGAAAAAAAGTTGATAAAACAAGGTATGAGGGGGTCTCTATTAAGGATAATAAAATGACTTATCAAGATTTACCATCTAATATTGCACCCTGTGTACCATTATGTTCTGTACTTTACATGGGTCTTGATCATGCTGTCAAATGATCAGAAGGATATATGGTTTGATAAATAATATTTAGGTCCTTGCTCCTACATGCGATACCTAGGCATGTACAGGCATCTTGCATTTTGGGAAGTTAGAAACTGGATATTTTAATTTAAATTTCTTCTTTATTCAATTGCATCCTTCCAAATATTTAAACTTGTTGATATTTTTTCATCCCATGAAGTTTTTTCAAAATTTAAAGTTTTAATGGTTAACTGTCAACCAATAACAGTGAGTTTACCACAATCTTTATTTAAAATAGAAATAGAACTAAGTAAAAAATGAAGGATTTTAATTATAGAGAAATTTAACATAATATTGATGGGTTGAAAGTTGACAAAGAGCAAGATTCAGTTAGGGCCTTTCTTGGCCATGTTTGAATTTCTGAAAAGTCAAAACTACTCAGTTTTAGTTGACAATGCATTAAATATCACTTGCATTCTTGGTGACTGCATATCTGTTAAAATGACACAATTTTCTTGCCACTCAGTGCATTATGAAGTCATGAATTGCATCTTTTTAGCTCACCTGAGCTGAAAGCTCAAGTGAGCTTTTCTGATCACCCG